TCTGGAAATGGTCCAAAACTGCCAAGGCATGAAAAGTATAGGGACCAAAAGAGTCAATTCGCTGAAGTTTCAGGGACTAATAATGTAACATGTTTATCTTCTTCCCCAATTCATTGACCGCATAAACGAACATGATTGGAATCGTGAAATCATCACAGCGAACACCGATAACAAAGCGAACATGCAATCTGAGCTCAAGTGACCGAACCTATGTTCGTTTCAAGACTGCCAATTATTCACCTGAAGCAAACCCAACCGAAGGTTTGGTTCCTTTCGTTTCTATTTCCATTCCAAGCTTCATCAGGCGAAACTCCTTGCCCTTACGGTCCTTCCTCCATTCGCTTCAACCATTAACAAGCGAACCCAAGTTCGTTGTTCCGGGTTCGGTCCTAATTCATCAGCATTACCTCAAGGCGAATCCACTCACAGGTCCGCTTATTGTTGTCACTCTACATTCGCTTCAAGTTTTAACAAAAAACCCAATATCGTTCTAGGCTCATTCCGAGTCTGTCGCTCAAAGCGAATCCACGTCAACGAACGTTAGAGCTAGCCCAGAAATCAATTCCAAGTCTGTTCGCTCCGAATCAATCTCACAGATGTTCGTTCGATCGTTCGCAGATAATGCAATTTTGACTTTCGTTTGACCGTTGTTCTTCCCGTTTGAGTACCCAAATCATTCCAATTGAGCTCCAATTACCAATTTCATGGTTCGCATCACACATGCAATTTTGACATATGCCCCGATTCCAAGACCCATAACACAGCGAACCTGAAAAACATGAAGCACCAAATTGCGAGATGGAATTCTGACAGTCTTCAAGGCATCTCACCATTGTAAAGGCTTGTTCCAAAAACTAGATTAACAAACAAAATCGCCAGTTCATCGCAACAACAACCTTCAATTGTTTAATCCAATTTTGACTTTTCATTCTTTGACCAACTGTTTGACAATTGCACATCACAAGACCCAAAAATCGCATTCATCCAACACCACGTTAATACTCCAAAGATTGATTTCATTTAGAAATCATTAGCCATTTTAAGAAACAAATGAAATCAAGTCAACAGAAAGAACGGGAATAAAAGAAAACGATGAACAAAGAATGGATGAGCAACAAATTCAAGATACGTCTTTTACATATGGGTTGATTGTAATAGCTTTAAAGAAACGATCTATATTCAAATGTTTACAAATAATAGCACCAGTCAATCATCGACTTGTTAATTTTGACAAACAGGAAAGATTGAATTGAACACAGAATGAAGACGCAATCGGAGACTCAAATGTAATATTAGGGCCAAAGACAAGAAAGATGGATCGATATTAACAGGCGGACCATGAACAGTGAACGACCATGAGATTGAGCCAGATCAAAATCAGATTCGAATGGATTCAACTGGGTCAAAACAAATGAGTAACATCAATTGATTTTTGGATTAAGCAAATGACCAATCTAATATGAAGAGAAGAACGAATCAGATTTAAAAAAATATCAAATGAACAGTAGAAGAACAGCATAAATCTCCATGAACAGTAACTTGAACAGAATTTTGATTCCATACCTCCGAAACACCAATAATCTTCAATATATGTGCAGAAAATCACCAAATCAAGAACCGATACTTCAAAAATCAATAGATCTTCAAAGACCCACTCTGATACCACTTGTTGGGATTAAAACCCTAATTGTGATTTGATGAACAAGATGCGGAAAATAAGAACAAACACAAATATGGAGATTATGTCGAATGATCACTCAATTTATTCAAAACATGAGGAATAAATTACACTTTCAGCATAGACTAAAGAATCTAACACTACATAAAAAACTTCACGTGGCGGCTACATTTTGCCTCACTCTCTTAACCCTAATTATGAATAATACATGACTATTTATAGGGAAAAGACAAGTCTTGGACTTTTAACCTACACTTTATCAAGGGGCCCATTGTCATCATCTATGGAGTGCTTTGAAACCCTACACACCACATGTAGATTAATTTTTTTTAATAAAAAAGTTCCACACGGTTAACACATACATATCAATTAAAAAAATAAGATAACAATATCTATTATCATTTAAAAGATATAAAATAATTTGTGTCATTCGTGGCAAAGCAGCTCAAGCCACTAAATTGATATGAAAAAAAAAGATAATATAAATAACATGAAAAAATATATATAATATAAATAACAAATATAAAATATCGTTTAAAGTACAATGTTATAAGAAAATAAAAATGAAAAATTAAGACGCTAAATCTACTAAGTTGTAATTACTCAAAATAGAAAAATGCAAACAAAAATAAGTTGGGATTAAAAATCAAAATATGGAAGAAAAAAAAAGATGATATAAATAAAAAATATATAATATCGTTGAAAGTACAATGCCATAAAAACAAAATCAAAATTAAGACGCTAAAGTACAATGGTATAATGAATAAGTAAGTTTTTTTAGTTTACGTCTCTTCTTTTTAAATCATCAAAAGCCTAGAAATACCCGCCCGAAATTGATTTAGAAATTAATTTCGGGTTGTCCCCATTTTGGGACTGCTTTTTGAATACCTTACATCGTTTAGGATGTAAATGTGTATTACATGATTGATTGTTTAAGAAATATTCGGTTGTTATTTTCTCTTTGCTCCTCGGTTTATAATTTTATATATACTTAGGAGCTAAGGAGAAATGTTGCCGAAGTTTTCTTAAATGGTCAATCATGTACTACACATTTGCATATGAGGTAAGGTATCAAAAAGTGGGTTTAGAAGCCTACCCTTGTGAATACTCTCCAGTTATCTAGTTTTCTATTCCATCTGATTGAGTGGTTACTCTATCCTTATAAATATTCAATCCTAATTCTAGTTATTGTAGAGTAAACACTAAAACCTAACATATATTTCAATTGCAACATGTCTATTGATAAAATGTGGACTACTATTGAAAACCGTAACTCTACCTTGTTCCAACAAGGACTCGAATCTTTTCTCGAGAGGTCCAAACCATACATCGATAATAAAGGTCAAATCAGATGCCTCTGTACCAAATGTAATGTCAATAAATTTATACTACTACCCATAATGAAAGTCCATATACTTCAATATGGTATTAGTCCACATTATAATATATGGAAGTATCACAGTGAAAATACAACTCACCCGGTTGTCGAAAACATACCGCGTAGTAATGAGATGGCTGATGTTATTGATGATGTTATGGGGGTGTGATTGAAAATGATACCAACCGCGACGAAGGGAACCCAGATACAGACGGTAGCGTTGTTGATGATGGATTTCAAAAGGTGTTAGAGGAAGTCCAATTAAAATTATATCCTGGATGTTCGTTTTCATCACTTGACTTTTTAGCAAAGCTGATGCATATCAAGGTGATAAAAAAAATGGACTGATAGTTCATTCGACCAGTTTCTTGAGTTGTTGCAAACTGCATTTCCTCAAGGAAACAGGGTTTCCCCCCATCACATTACGAAGCAAAAAAGACACTTAAAAAGATCGGCTTGGGTTACGAGTCGATACACGTATGTAAAAACGACTGCTTTCTTTTCTGGAAAGAACACTAGTTGTTGCAAAAGTGTCCAGTTTGTAATAAGAGTCGGTGGGTTGATGAAAATACAAAGGGTAAGAAGGTGGCTCATAAGGTTTTATGATACTTTCCCGTGACCCCCAGACTACAACGTTTGTACTGTTCTAGACACACAGCTAAAGATATGATTTGGCACAGTATCGGACGATCCAAAGATGGTATGATGCTTCATCTCGTTGATGGTACTTCATGGAAAAAATTCGATATGAAGTATCCAGACTTCTCAAGGGAACCCCGAAACGTACGCTTAGGGCTTGCTACTAATGATTTTAATTCGTTTGGTAACATGTGTAATCCTCATAGCACGTGACCCATTATACTCGCCACTTACAATCTTCCACCATGCCTATGCATGAAAGAGTCATCTTCATGTTGACCTTTTTGATTCCCGGTCCCAAAGTACCAATGAAGGACTTGGATGTGTTCCTTAGGGTGTTGGTGGATGAGTTGAAGCAGTTATGGAGTATGTACTAAAGACGCATCGACAATGAAAGCAACGTTGTTATGGACACTAAACGATTTTCCCCCTCGTAATAGTTTATCCAGTTGGAGCAGACAAGGGTACAAAGCTTGTCCGACTTGCAACGAAGACGCTCCATCGTACCGGGTATCAAATAAAGTCGTATACGTTGGTCATCGCCGGTTCTTAGATGATGAACATCCATGGAGAAAAAGTTTGGACTATAATGGCGAACATGAGACAAGAGCCCCCCCCCCCCCAAAGAAAGTTTAGTGAGGAAGAAATACAAGCACAACATGCTCGTCTATTGTTTCATCCACCGGGTAAAGTAGCCGCTCAACGAGCTGGTAATAAAAGAGATCGTGAGGATTTCAAGTTGAATTGGTCTAAAAAGAGCATATTCTATGAAATCCTATTTTCTACGCAGTCCAAACAAGTATTTTACATCCAAGAACCTCCTCGAAGTGACGAAAATGATAACCAATGGTAGGTTGTTGAAAATGTTAATCATAGAAGAATTTGGGATCTACTGATGAACGATATCGACCATGATCCCATTGAAAATGTCGATAATGATTTAACCAATTTCATTCTTAGTAATGTTTCTTCTAATTTCACTCTCTCAATCAACTTTAGCCAGTACTTTCAAAATTCTCAATCGGTTGAAAATGATATTGAAGTTGACTCACCAACAAGTATCATCAATAATTTGTCTGATTGCGAGACAGATTATGATGAGGAAGATTCTGATTATGATAACGATGTGTCAGCAGACACTGAAGCGTCTGGGGGGCGAGAATGATTAAAAAAAATTTTACATTTGACTAGTAAAATAAGGTTTGTATTTGTTGTAATCATATAATATATATATATATATATATATATATATATATATATATATATATATATATATATATATATATTGTGTTATCATTTTTCAGGATGCCCGTTTTTTGGATTGCATTGCTCCATCTCATGGCTGCTGTGATGGGCCATGGAGGTGACGGTGGTGACGAGCCACCACATCCGTTTGGTGGAGCTTCTGGTGATCACCAGAACAATGGTAATTAAGATTTATTCTAATTCGTTGTATTTCATCGTATCTATATAAAAAATTATTTTGACTAATATTTTTTTATGCAGTGGTGCCTCCGAAACGAAGAGGCATGGTGGTAAATTAAAAAAATGTACAAACTATTTGAAGCTAACGGTGAACGGCCTCTTAAGATAGTATTCGACATAAATACTAACATGCCGATTGGGGAGGTGTACGAATGTTTCATTCGGGAGGTTGGGAGCTATATATGGTGGGACATCGGTTTTGATAAAGACACATGGACAGACGTTTCTGAAGCCGAAATGGTTGAAATGTTGCAGTAGCTTTCGGTAAATTATTTATAAAGTTATATAGTTAATATTTTTTAATTTTGATTTATTTTTAATTTCTCTTTTTTTTTGTAGAAATGATTTGATTTTGACGCAATTATAAATTATCTCATGGATTCAACTTATTGGGCGTCAATGAACAATTAGATATGTGCACGGTATAGAGGTCGCAAAAATATTGCAAAAAGTCGTTTTATTGATTTTGCAGGGGATGTGGAGGCAGCAAGGGCTCGAGCCCCTATGGGTATGGATCAACGGAGTTGGAATGCTGCTATTGACCATTTCTTAACAGGAAAAACATCAAAAACGATCCACTGGAAACAAAGAACGCCGAAAGAAGCAAGTAGTGAAGAATCGTGGAGGGACGTGCAGCTACGGTAGTACTTGTTTCAAGAAAGTAAGTTACAATAATGCTTCTTCAGTTATAACATATTTTTTAATGTGTATTAAATATAACATATTTTGTAATGTTAAACAAAATTTGAATAGACTTGAAGTATTTCATCGTACGCATGTGCATAAAAAAAAGGGAATTTGTTGATCCTTTGGTTGAAGAGCAATATGTAAGTTATTATTACTTAAAAATGAAGTAGATTGTTGATCTTTTTGTGTTATTTTTAACGTATATTAACAATCTTTGTGAAATACATAATGCCTTAGTTGCTGAGGTTGCTCTACAGACTCATCACATAACCGACTCTGGTGGTGATCCAGACACTATTGATTGGATCGCAATATTTGAGAAGGTGTTGGGTACACGAAGGGGGCATGTGAGAGGCATTGGGCCTAAAGCTTCTTCAACTGCGGGTACAAGTGCTCAATCTCAATGGCAGTCACAGTCACAAGCACCGCAACCAACACAGGTACTTGTTAAATTCTTAAAGAATTTGGTAGCTTTGTTATATTGTTAAGAACTTGATGTATTTGTAGTAATTTTTGGTAGCTTGGTAGTTTGTTAAATTGATAAAGACTTAATTGATTTGGCCATTTAATAGTTTGATAAATTGTTAACGACTTAATTCACTTGGTGCTTTGATAGTTTGATAGTTTGTTGAATTGTTAACGACTTAATTCTATTAAGTCATTAACTTAATGTGTTTGTGACTTAATTGTAGAATGTTGATGTGAATGCTTTTCTTCAAAACTCGGCATCTGTTTCGGCCATTAGAGACATTTTCCGCTCCTTTAAAAACCAAGTCAACAACAACGAGGAAACAATGATGGAGAAGGTGAAAACGAAGACATATAGTATTTCTTTTTTTATGCTATGGATAATGTTATTTTGGATTTATTAGATAGTTTATGGATTATATATTAAATATTTTTTTGGGATTTATTAGATATGTAACAGAAGATGTTATGTTTGACGTTTTATGTAATGTGGTATGTATATATTTATGTATTTCTATCAAATCTACATTTTATAATATACATAAACTAATAATATAAAAAATGTTTTCTTCAAAAAAAAATACCAGCGACACCTTTAGGGACAACATGCACTAATTGCGACGATACATAACTCCGGTGAAGGATTGCCGAAAAAACTCCGACGGTGGCCAGAATCTGAATAGAGACGACGTCAATAGTGACGGAACAGGAGTATTAGAGACGACATTTATTAGAGACCGCAACATTTGCGACGACGAACGAGTATTAGCTACGAGGTAATTACGACGACCCTTTAGAGACAACACATCGTCGCTAAAGGTATTAGCAATGACAAAAGGTCATCAATTGCGACGACTTATGTCGCCGCTAAAGGCTACAGTTTTTGTTGTGCATGCACAAAAGATAAGTCAAAATTAGTCGACGGAGTCTAAACAAAAGCTATAAATCTCGTCGATATCTAAACGTTGATATAAAGAACGTCAAAAACAAAGTTCGTATGAACAAATTATAATTTATAATAGTATATTTACGTATTAAAATAAAGTATAAATCACATATATATATATATATATATATATATATATATATATATATATATATATATATATATATATATATATATATAAAGGGGCGTTGATCGTTTAAATAACTATGATGCCGTTTAATAACTATAAAGAGTAGTTTTTGAAAATTCAATTACTACAAATATGAGGCTCTAGGCTCTCATATTTCTTGCACCATTCTCTTAATTAAAAACTTTCTCTTCTTATCCCTAAACATTTCGGTCCCTCGTGATTCGACTTCTATTTCTGTAGTTTTAGTATAGTAAGGTGAGCGTTGAAGCGCTACAATAATCTTTTTAGAAAAAAGATTTTGCGATGAAGTTCTCCCCGCGCAAAGTCTGGTTTCTCGCTAAACTACCTGTAAGTAAAGTTATGCTTACCGTGTTTTAAGTATAACTTGTGTTTAAGTTCATTATTGTTATTATGAACCTACAAACAAGAATTATCGGTAATTCCAATTCGTTAATTGATTGATCTACTTACGGGAGAGGTGTCTAGAATGGTCATGTTGGCTTGGTTGTTGGATTTTAGAAAAGCTATACACCGAAATGATCCTACCTCGTAACTGTCCTGCCTAACTGATCCATGTGTTTTTCCCAGATCTAAAGTTTAGTCTCTAAACATTAAAAAATTCACAGTTGGTCCCTGTGATTTCAAAACTTTTGATGTTTGATCGATTAAACTAACTCCATTAGCCTTTGGCCATTAACTATTATTTGATTATTATATTCGGAGGCATTTCCGTCATTTCCTTACCACAGGAACCATTTATGATGCTATATATATATATATATATATATATATATATATATATATATATATAAAGGGACTCTCTCTCTCTCTCTCTCTCTCTCTCTCTCTCTCTCTCTCGCTCGCTCGTGAGAAACCACCTACACACTCAGGAAAGAAACTCACACCCATTTCCCACCCCATCTTCTTCTTCTTGTTCACCACCTGCATTTCAAAACGACGCTAAAGGTTATGAATAAGAGCCATGAATCTATGGTGTTAAACACAATAAAGCCATAAACTAAAAAAAACCCACATGTAACATCATCTTCCCCCAAAACCTCATCTCCGAATGATGCATTTTCTTTTCTAATTCAATCAGCGAGTCCAAAAATCGACGGCACATTACACAACAAATTTTCCCAAGAGAGAGTAAGGCAGAGCTTATGGGACAATCGATATGTTTAGGGGGTGCGCGGTGGAGAGAACGATTTCGATTATGACAATGAGACTAAAACAAACCCAATCGATTCAGTGGATGGAGGTTGTAAGCTAATGACACATTGGATGCAGGTGGATTCTTGTGAAGGCTATGAATTAAAACCATATATGAAAGAACGAAACAGTCATTGAGCTACAATAACCACCACAAAAATGGTATTAAGAAATCAAGAAGGGTCTCATGAAATTGGCAGTAAATGGAGACGTATTTGTGTTTAATTTGTTGTCTTTTTTGTTTTTGTATCGGGGTATGTCTATATGTTTTAGAAGTAGATGTTAAGGTATGCAATACTAAATCTAAATGCATGTTTTGGGTGAAAAGGATGGGTAGATGTTTATATATGATAAACCCAAAGCTTTGTTATTCTACACAGGGAGAAGAAGAAGGAAATATAAACCTCAAACCTTGTTAGTCTATTATCTATAGTAGGAGAGGAAGAAGGAAACCCATGACTTAACTTTTTCTAGAATTGTAGAGTGAAGAAAAGTTTATCATCAAGATTCAGACGGTGGAGGAGGATAGATCGAGGTCTCGTTTACTCTAAATTTATTGCAAAAGAATAAGGACCAATTAAAGTTTAAGTTCGACAAAACTTCATAAATGGTCCATGTGGTTTAACAAAATCTAAGGTTTTGTCCCTAATTTTAAAAAACGTGGTCCATGTGGTTTCAAAACTTTTAATGTTTAGTCTGTATGGCTAACTCCGTTAGTATTTTTCCATTAAGTGAATGACATTTTCGTAATTTCACTACCCCATGGACCATTTTATGAGGTTTTCGCTTAATTTTTTTTAAAAATAAAAAAAATAAAATTTAATATGCAAGGGGTTCCACATCTCTCTCTCTCTCTCTCTCTCTCTCTCTCTCTCTGAACCAAAGAACTTCCCATCAGAAGCCTTAATTGGAGAAACCCACCACCATATATTAACACCTTAAACCATCAACACTCTTCCATCAACCCCATTGTCGAGCACCTACTAACTATCTAGCCCTACATATGGTTTTCTCCACCCTATTAAACATGCAGGAGGTTGAATTAAAATGGAATCCATTTCTCTTCGTTTGTTTTTCTTATACACAATGGAAAATTAAGGGGGTGAGCGTAAGAGCACACAAGAATAAAGGAAATAGTTGAGGGTTGTTGGTTGTTTTTCCAACTATCGTAAACCATTGGATCATCATCACCATTAACCATCAAGACCCTCTACACCATTGTTAAATTTATGAACCCTAAATCATAGATATTCACCCCTCCATCTTTAATCATTCTAATATGACTTAAAGCTTTGGGTTTCATCATGTGGATTCCTTAAAATAGAATATGAAGTTGTGTGTCTTTGTGTGTTTTCATTTCTAAAACCAATTTGGGTGTGTTTTGGTTTACAGAAATTGACAGAATCAGTTATCCTCTTCACTTTGATGTCGATAGAGTGAGGAAATGATATGTATACCTTAGCTTTGGAATTGATTGTTTCCCTTTTTGGTGTCAACCTCCACCGATTTTGTTTGTAGGAATACCTACATCTCCTTCGTTCCATGTCGTATCCTAGAACTCAATTGTTTCTTCCCCTTCTTTAACAGTCAAAGTCGGACCATTTGGATTTCATATCGTATCACCTGACAAGCTGCTAACTTCGTACTATCATACATCAATGGATCATATTCTTCGTAATCCAAACATAAATAGCAGAAGGAACATTCACAATGAAATCTCCAAGAGAATTATGAGCATGTTGGTTAGGTTTAGCTAATAATTTAGGTACAAGATTAAGGAACAGATGCAAGAATAAAAAACCTTGGAGATAGCGAATTCAAGAGAGGTGAAGTCGGCATTTAGGGAGCAACTGGGGAAGATTTCATTCCCCAATTTGTAGAGAGGGAGAGAGAGATAGAGAGAGAGAGAGAGTGTGTGTATGTGTGTGTGTATGTATGTATGTAATGTGGGACCCCTTGCATATTAAAATTTTCTTTTAAAAAAAATAAGTGAAAAACTCATAAATGGTCCCTGGGGTACTGAAATGATGAAAATGCATTTCACTTATGTAACACCCGGTTCCTGGTATGTATTTTAAATTAACACTTTCATTTTTGCAAAGGGACTCGAGATTCGGAGGCCCCAGACTTGTCGAGTAGGAACGAAGGATTGGACACAGAATTAAATCCTACTCAATGAGTCGAGAGGCCTCGACTCGGTGCATAGGGTCTGTACCCTATTTAAACACCTTAATTGGGCACAAATACAGCCTCCATCACCTCCAAGCCTTATTCACAAAACCCTAATCCATTTTGAGTGTTCTTGAGCCTTTTTTGTGTGTTCTTTGTGATTTGAAGCTTAAGAAGAAGAGGAAAGCTTGGGGATTCAAGAGGAGGCAAGTAGATCTAGAGTTTGTGCTGCATTTCCAACTCATTTGAGGTATAAAGTCTATACCTTGCTATTCATCTATTAGATCCCTTCATGGAGTAGCTTAGGGCTTTAAGGAACCATTTTTGGAACCATTCATGGATACAAGCATGTTTGGCGTCAAGACTTCATATCCAGGGTCTTTGAGGGACTCCATGGCATAAAGGTGCCAACTGTATGGCCATGGGAGTCCCATGCATCATAAGTGCCACTTTTTAGGGTTATTTGAACTAAATAGCCCATGCATGAACGTACAGTTTGTAACTTTACGTGTTATATCGACCCTAGGAGGCCAAATCTATGTTTTGGATGCATTAAACCCGACTAAAATCTGCTATATGGAATTAGACTTTGGGGGACTCGATGAGTCATTCTTAGGACTCTTCGAGTTGGGTCGTGGTTCCCTAACTTTTTTTGTTACTGAACAAACTTATTGAGTCTAGAAGATGACTCAATGAGTTAGACGTGTTTATGGACTTGAAGATCAAAGAACTCGACGAGTCCAAGGATGAACTCGGAGAGTTGATAGCAAAATGGCCCGAATTGTATGAAGAAGAACTCAACGAGTTCCTGGATAAACTCGGCGAGTTGATGATCAAAATGTCCCAACATACATGAAGAGGAACTTGACGAGTTCAAGGATG